ATAAAACATTTACTTGACAAACATGATTTATCATGTAAAGAAGAAATATCTAAACAAAATTTAAAGTTATTTTTCAAACTCATTGTAAAAGATACAACTGACCCTATAAAAGATAAAAAATGGTTTCTGGTAAGGAATTATGTTCTCATGTGTTGCAAGGATTTAATGCCATTCTCTTCTTTAAATAATACTGGAATGCAAGATTTTCTAAATGTTATTTGTAAAATCATTATAATTTTTAATAGGGCAATCTTAATTTTTATTTTAACTGTTAAGATATTTAATTATTTTATAACATCTCACATTTAGAATTTTTTATGGCATAATATTTTTATTATTAACTTTTTATTATGTAGAAATATGGCATTATTTCAGATGCCAAGGAATTACCAGAGAGAACTACACTTAGCCGGAGTGGATTAGATGATGTGTATTTATCAATGAAGGCATACATATACTAACAAATTAATATAGGTCCTAAATTTTGTGCTATAACTTTTGATATGTGGACCGACAAATATAGACGGCGAAATTATATCACCTTTACATTTCACGAAATAGATAATAATTTTAATATTGTATTTTATACATTGGCGACACATCATGTCACTCAAAAACATACCGCTGAAACTATTCTTTCCGAAATAGAAAAAGTTGAAAATGAATTTAATTTAGGGTTCAAGAAAATTCAAATGGTAACGGATGCATGACCCAATGTAAAGAAAAGTGTTCGTCTAGAAGAATATGACCATCATTTATGTTTGGGGCATGGATTACATAATCTAGTGTAGTGTTTGCAACGGTCCGGTCCTACCGGCTCGGTCTTATCAGACTTTTCGGCCCTAGGGACGGTCCCGTCCAACAACACGGTCCCACTGTCCGGTCCTGTCCGACCGAAGACCGATTTAAGAATATAAAAGTTTACTATAAATTGCTTTATAGTTAATGTGTATGTACATGAACATATAAAATATGATTATTTAATGCCTAACACTTTATAATATCTAATTCATCGTTTACTTTTTATATCCTTCCGTTTCATTAAATTCAATATTCATAGTTTACTTTTTATATTCTCCCGTTTCATTCAATTAAATTCAATCGCCTTCAAGTATTTTAATTTAGTAGGGTAGGTAGTATTATATTTTATTTTTAGAAATGGATATTGAAATCATAGAAGTTGATATTGAAATGCCACACTCTTCAAGGGGTGAAAGAATGACTATTATTGATGAAAATCAAAAAAATTCATCAAATTCTTTAAAAGATGTTAAAGAATTATACAATTATTTTAAAAAAGAGACTGGTCATAAGATTTGTAAAATCTGTTTACAATCATTTTCAAATACATCAAGCACAAGTAAATTAAGCATATATACTATTAGCTGGGAACCAATATTAAAAACCCAATATAAACAAAATATTGTATTGGTATTGGGTCTAAAATATTGATATTGGTTTAAACAATATTTTCTATTTCTTGTATCTTGTATTGGTTTATATTATATTGGTTTAAATTCAAATAACTAATTAAAAAAATAGAAATAAATAGTGATTATAAAACCCTTTTATTATCAATATAATGAATTGTTATTATGCCCATAAAGGGTATTATATTTGGAGAGGACCAAATGTCCATTGTTAAGGAAAATTTAGATGTAATGTTAGAACGTACAGATTTTAAATTGATAAAAGAACTATGTTAATGTTTCATAATTTCTATTTTTAATCTTTTCAGAAAGTAATTTTCTAAAGCTAATGATAAAATAACTAAAAAACGCAATAGAATGAATCCAAAGATGGTTCAATCTATGATGGCACTTGAATCATGGATAAAAAATGGAATCATTTTTGATTTTTTAGAAAATAATTAAATTATTTATATACAATTTATTTTATAACCAAATATATATATCAAAAAAATTAATTAAATATGTAAATCATATTCATATTGATATAATTTATATTAAATAAATTTGTATTTTAATATTCTTTTGATTAGGCCTTTGTGTATAATATAATAAAAATGAATTGATGATATAATTGAAATATTAATAGGGAGTTTAACTATTCATTTTTAATAAATTTGAATGCAGAATAAAACTTTTGTAGCTTTATAGAAAAATTTTTTTTAGGCGGTCCGGTCTCACTTGACTTAGCGGTCTATCGGTCCGGTCCCATTTTAGAAAAAAAGACCGGACCGGACCGTTGCAAACACTAATCTAGTGACAGTCGATGGAATAAAAAAGTTAATAAAATAGAAAATCTCATTAAAAAAGTGAGAGAAGTTATAGTTGCCTTAAGATTCAAAACAGCGGATTTTGAAAATATAAACGATAAAGAAAATGTTTTGAATCGATATCATATACAAGAAGTTATAGTTGCCTTAAGATTCAAAACAGCGGATTTTGAAAATATAAACGATAAAGAAAATGTTTTGAATCGATATCATATACATCGGATATTTTAGATTTGGATGATAATGATCCTTTTTATGAAGATCGTTTGGGGTTTGATGATGATAGTGAAAATCAAAATCATATGAGAAAAAACATAAAACCTTAAAATTAAATGTGCCTACACGTTGACATAGTATTTTAATAATGCTGGAAAGTGTGACTGGCAATAACAAAAATCCTATAAATATTCTATTAAATAGAATGGAGAAACCGGATCTCAAATTATTTAACTCCGATTGGGACTTGGTGCATGAACTTTTAAATTTTCTTAAAACCTTCAAAAAAACTGTTGAATTTTTATTTGTCCAAAAAGAGTTATTAAATCATTTAATTGTAAAAGAATATGATAGTCCTCCCATAGCATCCCTTAAACAAAATATGCTTAATAAATTTGATCATAGATTTCCAATAACCGATCTTCAGGTAGTATTTTAAAATACATAAATTATTTTTTTTATATATTATTTCTCTTTCTTTTATTTTTTTACTTAGGTGTTAGGAGCACTTTTGGATCCTCGTTTTCAATCAATAAACATAGTAAATGAATATTTAAAGGAATAAAATACTACTCCGGTTGAATTTTTATGTCAACACGCTACCTCTCTATGGCCTTTGGACGAATTAAACGAATGTGAAACGACGGAAGTTGCTTCAAAACTTGATTATCTTAAGTCATTGGCTACGAAACATTCATCTATTCAAAACAATAGCCTGAAACAACAACACTATTTAACTAGTTTAAAATAAGAATTATTCATTATTTTCGCCTTATAATTTCGAGATAAAAGATGTCTTAGATATTTGGAAGATAAGAGCATTGGATCTTCCTAAACTTTCAATATTAGCTAGAAAGGTCCTGTGCGTTCCAGGTACGACCTGCGAGGGTGTATTTTCTATAACTGGGCTCACTCTGAACTCTTAAAGATCATTATTATGTCCTTTAAATCTTAATAAAATAATATTTATTCATGATAATTATAACTTAATAAAATCATTAAATTATAGTTATAAACATAATACAGTATAAATTTTATTTTAAAAGTGTTTCCAATGATAAATTTAATTAAAAAATTTAAGTTAGAAAAATATTTGACGCCGCCGCCGATTTTTGTGGCGGCGTCTAAATCGATTCGCCGCCGCTAGCCGATCATTTTTAAAAAAAAAACGCCGCCGCCGCCGAAAATGCTGTCGGCGCACATGTCTAGGCATAGGTGATCAGTGATATTTAACAAATAATATTGTTATTAACAAGTAAACCCTTTAAATATATTTTGACTCAAGCCATAGTATTTACACTTAGTTTTAATGGATTGAATCTGGCCTAAAGGGGGGGAGGGGGTAAAAAGAATAAAAATTGGACATTATTTTCAAATAACAGGTAACAACTATTATAAAAGTAAGGAGAAAATTCTCATACCCTGTCATTTTTGATGGGCTATCTACTAGTATTAATATAAAATCCTTCCTTGAAAGATAATTTTATGTTCAAAATCACAACTTAGATATCAACCCACTAATCCAGGTAGAAGCTAAAAAGATTGACAAATACAATTTTAACAACTTCATATTGACTTAATAAGTGACTCCTAAGAATGGCCATTTTTTCCCATTAACATACAAGTTTTTAAAAAATCTAGGCAATAAAATGTGGGTTTTTACAAATGAAACCAGAGAAATTTTATATAGGTCAAAAAATTTAAATTGAAATTTTTAGACATAAATATGGTACCTTTTAGGGATATCAATTTTAAAATCGTATTTTTTAATTATATAGTTTTAATTTTATTTTACAGTTTTTATAGTGTTTTATAGTATTTTAATTTATAGTAAATTTTTAAATCGAATTAATCTAAATTTCTATTAGAAATACTATTTGTTAAGATATTTCTTTGAATAGAAAGTAATTTTTGAACCTTTTGTATAATTTATATTTTTTGGTTTTTGGTCTTTGGGGGGGGGGGGGGGGGGTTCAAACTAGAGGTACATTGGGTGGGTTATTAGCCCACACCCACCCATACTTTGGAACAGTGTTGTTAGGTTTTCTAAAATATTTTTAACATTGGGTGGGTGGCAGGTGGGTTAAAAAAAATTTAAGTAATGGTGGGCATGTGTGGGTAAATTTTTAATATTTTTCAGGCGAAATGAGCAGAACAGACTTCATTTTATTAAAAATAACAATTTTATTTCATAATATTGCATATTTATGTTTAATTAAAAATACATGAATGAATAAAAAGCCAAGGGTTAAAAAAAATTACAAACAATAAGCGGATAGGCTTTTTAACTAAAAACCTTCCCATTGCAATATTCTAGTCCAAAACATATTACCAAATGGTTACACCACTGCATAAGGGGGTTTCAACCTGCCCCTCTAGCCTATGCATGTCAACTTATTAAAATATAGCAAAACTTAACCATAATTCTAGAATTATATACAATTATGAATCTGGAAATAGCAGTATATTAATAAATAATTTATATCAAATATGTTTCAAACTAATGTTATAATGTAGAATTATAACTTTTAAAAAATAACAATACTTTTATTTTGCCTTTCATAAGAATTATGAATAATCTGTCCATTATGAGAATATATATTAAATGTAGGGTTCTTTTCATATTGTGACTTCTCGGTTGCTAAAAATAATTTTATTTGCATATCCCTCATCTAAATATGTTTTAACATAAATTATAGAAATATATGTATCACTATAATAATAAAAAATTAATTACTTGGGTAAATGATTTATGATGTTTGGTATGGTCTTGTATAAAATTTGCTAGTTAAGAAAAGATATTAAGTAAACAGAAAATATTTTACTTTTTGATTTCAATAAATCATATGTTTGAGAGATGAAATATTTATCATATATTTGTTCAATATTTGACCGTAAAATATTATATATATTTTGATAAAAGTTTTTATCCTTTTGAATTAGTTTTATGTTATATTTCACATTATATTTTATCGAGTCCTGATGTTTTAACAAATACTCATTAACTTCATTGCATTTTATAAATAGTTTGTCCGATTTTTTCCTAATAACATCTTTATAAATTTCTCTTTTAAAATAAAAATTCCTTAACAAAACTATTTGTAGGTGTTAATTTTTACTTTATGTGATAGTTCGTAGCTCTAAGCTCCTCGAATGAATAACCTTTATCCTTCAAAACATTTATTTTAGGATAACATGATATTTCAACTCTGTTGTTCATTAAATCGCTAAATCATGAATAAGCTGTTGACTGCTATAAAATAATGACATATCAGTTAGACAGATAAATAATTCACAAAAATTATTTTGTTCATTCAAACATTATTTATATAAAACTCTTTAAAAGGTTATAAAATTTTAAATAAAAAATAATATAACTTTATTTTGGAATATTTCAAGTTAAATTTTTTATCGGATAAAATGAAAATCCCAAGTTATGCTGTAAATGCCTGATTTTGAAGCCTACGGTTTTTTCAAATTTGAAAGTTTAAGGTAAAATGACCGTTAGTGGAGTTGTATTTTAATTTCTAATTTAATTTTTCCAACCTAATTAAAAGTTTTAATGGTATTATTCTATTATATTCTAGATAGAAGATATTAAGTTTTGAAAAAGACTTTTTTCGATCAAGTGATGATGACTTATTAACATAAGAATTAATTTTATTTGAATTCAAATTAAGTTTAAAAAAATGTCTTATTTAATACAACTGTATTATAATTTTCTAATATCCTCACTATTTTAATCAAACGAATAATTATTAGCTATTTAAAAATTACCATGGATTAAAATTGTTAAATAATTCGATTTTATTTTTTATACCGGCGAGATTATTTTTAGTTTGTATTAACATTTTTTTTATCGCTACAATTTATATTTATTTCTTAACTTTAAAATCAATTTAGTTGATCGTTTGATATAGATATAAAAAGAACATTTTTCTTTTGAAAAAAATAGATTTATAAATTTTTGATTTATAAATAATATTACAACATATAATGTAATTCCATTATTGTATGTAATTTAACAATAATGAATTTCTGATTTATAATAAAAACTTATTTCGATAAATCCCTCACGTTTCTTCATTGAGGCAAAACGACGTTTTTACACATTATTATTCTCGCAACCGCAAGAAGTAAATATAACGCTTTTATCTGAATAAAATTTTTCAACGATGGATGCATCAACACATATATGATCGAATTCGTCAAGCTGTATTTCCTTAAATTTAGTAGCGAGACAGCGCTTATATAGGGAAATTGCAAAATTTCTTCAAGATTAGCAAGATCTCCAGCGGAGAAAAGGCAGCGTTGTTTCTCCGATGTCTTTTAGATGACGAATGCAACAACATTGGAGTAATTTGCACGGAGGCAGACCTCCAGGACCCAATCGCTCTTCTTGGCAAATTTAAGCTCCAACATCCGTCAAAGACCGAGAACGTCAAATTCTGAATATTTTATGCTGCCACCCAAGGCAAGGATGAGACGTTCTCAGCTTGGATCACACGCGTAGCATGACTCAATAAAGAATGTAAATTCAATGGCATTCAACGCATTATTAAAGATGTCAGGAAAGCGGTCAGGAGCTCTATGACCATAGAAGATATACACAATCTAGGCCTAGAGGAAGACATCACATAGCCAAACGACATAAAGGGAATTGTGAAAGTAGAAGCCATACATCCGGCTGAACTGAATCATCTGGAACACAAGAGATAAATTATATGGGCCGAGCTAAAAATAGCCACGCCATGAAATCCAAGCAGGACTCCAATGCACTTGGTAAATCTCTTGTGAAATTTGATGTTTTCACCAGGCAACCCCGGTCCATTTATGACAACGACCACGAACAACGTCTTGATGGACTTTTTGATAACTACCGTGACAAACGCTTCCATGAACGCAACAAAATACGCTACGAAAACTACCGTGACAAACGCTTCGATGAACGTTGATATGGAACCACTACTGCTGTGACAAACGATGCGACGGACATCATGACAACTACCGCCCGTTTCGATCAAGCTACGATAATCGTCAGTATAACCGCAACCGTTTCGACAATCGCTTCGACAATCACTACGACGATCGATACAACTATCGCGGATACAACTTCCATGACAACCGTCACGACTATCGTTGTGGCCATCGTCAAAGCCTTGATCAAAGGGATAATTGCTATTGAGGAGATAACCGAACTAACTATCCATGTCGCGGTCAGCATAGTCATAATCCTCAAATTAATAATGGTTTTCCGAAATATTCGCTGAGGCGCAACCATTACAATAATACCTATAATAGATCTTATGATTATAAAGATCGTGATTGTCAATCGTGCACCAATTATTGCATGAACTTCGAGGAAATCGATAATGACGACGTCACAAACACAGAAGTTAAAGAGTATAATCTTCAGAATTTGGAAGTGTACAATCTGGGGGTCAATGACACGAGTTTCGATGCTGTGCCTAAAATTATACCCTCTAGGTTAGTTCCGTATGCCAAGATTAATTTAATGACACGGGAATTGGAGGGCTGGCCTGAGGACAGCATCATAGAGCCTGTGTCTCAATCCAAATGGGCAAGTCCATTAACACCTGTTTTCAAAGGAGACGGCATCATAAGGATAGGCGCTGACTTGAAGGACACCATAAACCAAGCTCTGAAGGAGTCTAGATACCTGATACTGTGCACAAACGATCTGATTGCAAAGTATGCCAAAGGCAGGATGTTTAACAAAATAAATGTAAGCCAGCTTTTCCTCAGATTCTTATACAAGACTCCAGGAGTCTACTCACGAAGTCTACCCACAAGGGCTGCTTTCGCTTTACCAAGCCATCGTTCGGTTTAAAAAGAAGAATGCACCATGAGTATGATGGCGTATTGCGTGGCGATCATGAACGTCGATAGCCTTTACCACTCAACATATCCAAGGAAAACATATGTCGGATTTCTTTGGAGGGTGGAATGTTAAATAATTCGATTTTATTTTTTATACCTTTCAAGGAAATTACTTTTAGTTTGTATTAACGTTTTATTTTATCGTTACAATTGGTGTTTGTTTCTTAACTTTAAAATCAATTTAGTTGATCGTTTGATAAAGATATAAAAAGAACATTTTTCTTTTTAAAAAATAGATTTATAAATAATATTACAACATAAAATGCAATTCGTTTATTAAATGTAATTTAACAATAATAAATTTCTGATTTATAATAAACTTATTTCGATAAATCCCTCATGTTTCTTAAAAAAATATATCGTTTTATTATATTTTAAATTATCACTTCATATTTATTTATTAAATTAGAATGTTCCATTCTTTATATATATATATTTATTTATTACCTTTAAATAATAAATACAATTTAAGTGAACCTAATAGACACAGTACACTTAGACTCAAAGTTTAAAAATTGAAATTTTATAATTATTAACAGTTAATTATAATTATTAAAAATCGTGATTAATTTAATTTTTTTAAATATTTAAAATGACACATATTTAAACATTTTTATAATCCAACTCCCAATATTTGGAGAAAATATCATGCTTCTTACTTAAATTTATTGTCAACAAAAAGAAAATCTCCCAAAATATATGAAGGGTACTCCACGGCTGGAAATAGTTGAACCAGATGGGAATTGTTTTTACCAGTAATTTAAAAATCATAAAAAAATTTGCCATATAGGTTTATATTTTATTATTTAAATTATGGTTGTATTTTTTTTTACTAATATTCATAGGATATGGATTTGCTTCTTTCTTTACCTTAAATTTTAATGATTATATCCTATATTAATTCAGAACATTATTTTTTAAAATATGATTGGTTTTTAGATATAGTAACATATTTAAATTAAAAAAATAATAATTAGGTCTATTTATAAGTATGGAGATTACAGGAAAGCAACGCTCCTATGGTTTGATTAGATCACATATGGTCTTGCTGATGCTGCGAAAAAAATAATAAAAATATAATAGATTATACTCAAGGTCAAAATACGTGTTAAGATGATGTGCAACAGTATATAATAGAAAAGTCAAATAATGCTGAATGGGCAACGGATATTGAAATGCGATATGTTGCCACATTTCTCAATACCTCGATAATGGTGTATGCTAAGTATGGAGGTTCATTTTGCTGGCAAATGCATTCGCTATTTAAATATGATGATGGAAATATTAGACCAAAACATTTATATTAATAATTCTGGATCCCATTTTGTTAATGTTATTGATTTTTTAGATTAAAACAAATCTTGATATTTTTTACTAAAAGTATTTAAGTGATTGTATTTGTCTATTTTTATGCATATTTCTTTTTATTTATCCTATTTTAAGCATATTATAATCAATAAATATATAGACTACATATGAAGATATCTTTTTAATCATACAATTTTTATATATATTTCATTACAACACTATATAATCACAAATTATTATGTTTACTTTATATTAATTTGTATTGCTTATACAATTTTACCTAGTGTTGTTAAGCGGCTCGATTTGAGCCGATTTTTAAAAATGGCTAACTCAATATTTTAGTCAGAAAAATATTACGCAAGACTGTTTATACATCTATTAACAAAGTCTTGAGGCTTAGGTAAAATTTTTCTGGCTAAAATATTGAGTTAGCCGTTTTTAAAAATCGGCTAAAATCGAGCCGTTTAACAACACTACTTTTACCCACATTTTAAAAATAAATTTGGAGATTTTTTAAAAATCTGAATTAATCCTTTTAATAAAATAATTGCCACCAAATAAGATTTAATAAAATGTTAAAATTCGTAATGAATATTTTAATGGCAAAAATTTTGCCAAAATACATATATTTGACCAGTTTGAAGTAATTTTAAAAAAATACGGACAAGTATAGGCAGTTTTTTTCTAGAAATGTAGCCAAACAGTACTATGTCTCACCTATCTAGAAACCCTGAAGAGTCATAAAAAAATCTCAAGAAGTCTTTTAGAAATTGGTATAAATATTTTCCAAATGGTTCATAAATTTTTAAATTTTATTAATTTTGGTAAATTAATTAGAAACATAATGGGGCCCAAAGTACTTGAGCTCATTAAGAGTAATTTATTTAAAAAATATCAAAACATATAATTTATAAATTTCAACATAATTAATTCAATAAAAAAATTTATATAAAAAATGAGTAATTGTTTGTAAATTTGAAGCGTGCTAGGGATTGTTGTGTGTTTCAATTTTATAGAATAAGTTATCACAAGGTATA